AAATCTTTGTCGACCCTCGATCTTTCCGGTAATAGTATATCTCCGGCCAGTTTAAGATCAGATTCACTCATGCCGGTTACCCTGGGAGTGTTGTCCTTGGCGCACTGTGGAATCAGTGTGTTCCCAAACATCTTAAAGTCCCTTCAAAATTTGGAGTTTATAGACATATCCGAAAACCGTATCAAAGGGAAAATCCCTGAGTGGTTATGGAGCCTTCCCTGTCTAAGGTCAGTGAACGTTTTAGATAATTATTTCAACGGTTTCGAAGGTTCAGCAGATATTTTAGTAAACTCATCAGTTCAGATATTAGTTTTGGAGACAAACAGTTTTGAAGGAGCACTTCCCAATCTACCACTCTCTATCAACGTCTTCTTTGTGTGTTCTAATAGTTTCACAGGGGAGATACCTCTTTCAGTCTGCAACAGAAGGTCGCTTGATGTCCTTGATCTATCCTACAACAAAGTCACCGGTCCAATTCCTCAATGTTTGAGTAACTTCACGTTTTTGAATCTCCGAATGAACAACTTGGAAGGAAGTATTTCTGACGTCTTCCATGCCCGTGCCTCTCTACGAACACTCGACGTTGGTTACAATCAACTAACTGGAAAGCTTCCAAGGTCTCTTCTAAATTGCTCCTTTCTAGAGTTTCTAAGCGTTGACAACAACAAATTCAAAGACAAGTTTCCTTTCTGGCTCAAGGCTTTACCAAATTTGCAAGTCCTTACCATGCGTTCCAACAAATTCTATGGTCCTATATCACCTCTTCATCAAGGTCCACTCGGATTTCCTGAGCTGCGGATATTTGGGATAGCCGATAATAAGTTTACAGGAAGCTTGCCACCAAACTTAGCCTTTACCTTATTCTAGTCAACTTTTGTTGTGTGACATAGCTCCAATGCAAAACTACATGTATCTTTATTTATACCAATCTTCGCTCTTATTAAGCAAATTCATTCTTTTTTTTTTTTGATAAAAGCAAATTCATTCTTCTTATAAAGTTTTCATGACAACCATTTCAGAATCACACACTACAAAAAAAAAATTATTTTACATCATTTATTTTTAATATTTGTATTATTTATAAATATATGATATGGTACCAACTCACTTATACATAGATTATGATATACTGTTCATAATATATATATATATATATATATATATATATATATATAATCTGGTTAAAATCAGCGTTGACTCTATGTTGATCAAAAAATATTTCAAAACTATTTAAATTTTAATTAAAAAGTATTAATAAAAATGTAAATGAATTTATCTTAAAAGAATTCTCACAAAATTCCGTTTTAGAAACTTAACCTTATCCAAAGAAAAAGATAAATAAAAAGAACGATTTATAAACTTGAAATATGTGAATGTATTATGTTATAGGTGGTGTAGTTAACAATACTCCCTCTGTTCATAAAGAGTGTCATTTTGACACATTTCACACATATTAAGAAATAAGTTAAATATACAAACATACTCTTATTTAATATACCCCTAATAATTTAAATACAAAGGATTTTAGTTTTGGATAATGAGCAAATTTAGAAATTAGTTACAAAAGTTGCATTGAAAATGTAAAACGACATTCTTTTTGAAACAAAAAAATAACTCAAGAACGACACTCTTTGTGAAACAGAGGGAATATATATAAAGGGATCTATTTATTTCTAAAAATTATAAATTCTTCAAAATATAATTGATTTCACTTTGTTTGTTTGGTTGGATGAGATCAACTGGGCAGACAGGGCAGTTGGCAGACATAAATAAATTGTCCAATGACAAGTGGACCTCATTTAATTTAGTTCTTACAGGTTGAACCTTTACAAATTTTAAATAACGTCAGAAATCAGTGTATCGCTTCATGATTTAAGTGGCACGTAAACGGTAAACCATACTTCACGTAGCTTTAACTTATTCAAAGTCAAGTTGCTCCAATGTAAACCACATATCTCTATTTATACATATATCTTCTCTCTGACTATTCTTAAACCAAAACCAATCTTCTTTAAAAGTTTTCATGACAACCATGTCGGAATCGCATCTGCGTTTGTTTTATCTCTCGCTACTCTTACTCTGTTTTGTCTCCCCATCAAGCTTCCTCACTATAAGTAGTCCCGGTACAGTTGCTTGCCGTCCCCACCAAATTCAAGCATTTACGCAGTTCAAGAACGAGTTTGATACTCGCGGTTGCAACCATAGTGATAGCGGAGTCTTGTGCGATAACTCGACGGGTGCCGTCACAGAGCTACGGGTCAGGGCATGTCTTAGTGGAATTCTGAAGCCTAACAGTAGACTGTTCGGGTTCCATCAGCTCCGTTATGTTGATATCAATTACAACAACTTTACCTCCTCTTCACTCCCTTCCGAGTTTGGAAATCTCAACAAATTACAGGTTCTGAGTCTTTACTCTAATGGCTTCCTCGGCCAAGTTCCATCCTCCTTTAGTAACCTAAGTCTACTTTCCTTTTTAGATCTTTCCTATAATCAGTTCTCTGGAAATCTGAATCCCAACAGTAGCCTCTTTGGGTTGCACCACCTCAGTTACCTTAATCTCGCTTATAACAACTTTGATTCCTCACTCCCTTCCGAATTTGGTAATCTCTATAGATTAGAAACCTTGTCTCTTTCCTCTAATGGCTTTTCTGGTCAAGTTCCTCCCATAATTAGTAACCTAACCCAGTTAACCCAGTTGTACCTTAACCTAAACGAGCTCACAGGTAGTTTCCCACTTGTACAAAATCTAACTAAGCTCTCCATTTTAAATCTTGCCACTAATAACTTCTCTGGAGCCATTCCTTCTTCTCTTCTCACTATGCCTTTTTTATCACATCTGATCTTGAATAAGAACCATCTTACTGGTTCTATTGAATTCCCCAACTCCTCTTCTTCATCAAGGCTACAGAGTCTGTTACTTGGGAACAACCATTTTGAAATTCAAATATTAGAGCCCATCTCAAAGCTCATCAACCTCGAGAATCTTGACCTTTCTTACCTAAACAAAAGCTACCCAATTGACTTAAAGCTCTTCTCCTCTCTCAAATCTTTGGTGAGGCTGGAGCTTTCCGGTAATATAATATCTCATGCCAGTTTAAGTTCAGATACAAACATCCCATTGACTCTGGAATCATTGTCCTTGGAGCGCTGCGGCATCAGCGAGTTCCCAAACATCTTAAAGACTCTTCAGAAGTTGGAGTATATAAACTTATCCCATAATAGAATCAAAGGGAAAATCCCTGAGCTACCACTCTCTGTCGAAGTTTTCTCTGTTGGTAATAATAGTTTCACAGGGGAGATACCTCTTTCAATATGCAACGGAAGCTCTCTCGAAGTTCTTGATCTATCCCACAACAACTTCACCGGTCCAATTCCTCAATGTCTAAGTAACTTCAAGTTTGTGACGCTCCGGGGGAACAACTTTGAAGGAAGTATTCCTGATGAGTTCTATGTCGGTGCCTCTCTACGGACACTAGACGTTGGCTACAATCGACTAACTGGAAAGCTTCCAAGGTCTCTTCTAAATTGCTCATCTCTAACGTTTCTAAGCGTTGATCACAACATAATCGAAGACACGTTTCCGTTCTGGCTCAAGCCTTTACCGAATTTGAAAGTCCTTACCCTTCGTTCAAACAAGTTCTACGGTCCTATATCTCCTCCTCATCAAGCTCCTCTCGAATTTCCCGAGCTGCGGATATTCGAAATAGCTGATAATAAGTTAACTGGAAGCTTGCCACCAAGTTTCTTTGTGAATTGGAAAGCATCATCTCTCACGATGAATGAAGATGCGAATTTATATATGATACACAGTGAAGTCGGCTATAGATTTATGGATTTTATTGATTTGAAATACAAAGGTTTATCTATGGAGCGAAATTGGGTCCTTACTTCTTATGCCGCCATTGATTTTTCTGGAAACAGACTAGAAGGACAGATTCCTGAATCCATTGGTCTCTTGAAGGCATTGATTGCGCTCAACTTATCGAACAACGCGTTCACAGGCCATATTCCTCTGTCTTTCGGCAATCTTATGAATCTCGAGTCACTAGACTTGTCAAGAAACCAACTCTCTGGCACTATTCCTAACGGAATCAAGACCCTCTCGTTTTTGGCTTACATAAACGTGTCTCATAACCAACTCAAGGGTGAAATACCACAAGGAACCCAAATCATTGGGCAACCTAAATCCTCCTTTGAAGGAAATGCAAGGCTTTGTGGTCTTCCTCTCGAGGAAAGTTGTTTTGGCACTAGGGGACCTCCAATGCAGCACCATAAGGAAGAAGATGAAGAAGAAGAGGAACAAGTGTTGAGCTGGAAAGCAGTGGCAATAGGATATGTACCTGGAGTGTTGTTTGGATTGGCGATAGCACATGTCATTGCTTCATACAAGCCAGAGTGGCTCGCCAAGATAACTGGTCTGAATAAGCACAGAAGCCGTTAGGAATGTTTCGGTTTTGAATTTGATCCTAAGTGGCTGTCAAGTAGTTGTTGTTCTTGAATTGAAGCATTACCTTGTATTTGTGTTGTGATCTTTATCTAATGTGTGTTTTGTTTCTTTTTTCTATGGAATAAGAATGGTGAATTCTCAGGAGTCATATTCACATACATCTCAGCTTTTTTAATGAGGAAAACGGTAGACGCAGGCAAATGAGGATCAAATTAGTTGTAACAGAGAGATCATGGTTTCACTCATTTTGGTTAGCATCAACAAAAGAAGAATAATAAGATGGAAGGAAACAACAAAATCTCAACATTAGATTTTAGATTACAAAAAAAAAGAACACCATGAGCACAAAGACCTAATATATATATAAGCAAAACCACAACAGCTTACATTTCTTTCCAAACATTCATACCTAAAGGATCGTTTCTCAATACTACTCGAGTAATAATATTTCTATTCCCTAACAAAATCAAAAGAAAAAATTTATATAAAGAGAGACCACAAAAACATAAAAAGAAAAAGAAGGGCATATACCAGGCGAAGTTCCAGTCAGCTTAGTAGAGCAATATGGGGCTGGTAACCTCGCAACGTATTCTTCTGATTCTTTCAAGTTTTAGGTACACTTGTATCCCCCGCAAACCGAGAGGATGATGATGAGAATCAAGGTAATGATGATACCAAGGACTATGAGTTTAATCTTCATGTTGTCAAACCACATCTTTCTTCTCATTTTCGTTCCTTGCGTTCTGAAATCTTGTGCCTGTAGATATTTGAATTGGAAATATAAGAGCGTTAAAACTTGAAAGCCATTTCATGCTTATGTGTTCATATGTATACACATAAGTTTTGCCTTGATTCATTTGGGCATGAATTCATATTACAGAAAAAATAAGTTCATCAAAACAAGCAAAAATCAGATACATTTGAGTGAATGGTAAGTATTGACCTGTGAACGAAGGTTCTCAGTTTTATCAACTAGAAGCTCAATTTTCTCACCTCGGTCAAGGACCTGCAAATGAATGAATTACATGAAGCTCCGTCAGTTTCGCAAAAGCGTGTCAGTTCTACCTCAAGGGCAGAGAAAGTTCAAGCCAGATATGACAAATATACTCAAACTTAATGATACAGAATTGTGAGATTGACAAGTATAAACGATTCGGACCTTCTCAATGTTCTCCATCATAACACCCTTCACCTCAGTCACCTGAGCCTTAACTTTGGCAAGTTTGCTAATCTCATCAGGATGATCCACACAGTACTGCATGTGCTCCTTCAGTTTCGACCTACGGTACAACCAGACTAGTTAAACTTGTATCCATAGAGACTAAACGTAGAAGTTTTAAGTTTTCATTCTGATGGTAGAGCTTATAGTACCCAAACTCTCTGTTCAAGCTGTTGGCTTGAGCAGTGGTAGCCTTACCACCACCATATCTCTTGTTGAAATCCTCCTTAACTCTCTCCAAAAAAGCCATTGGAATCTGCCTCCCAACAGATTCAACAGCAACAACACAATAAGCTGCACAACAACACAAACATTACTACTTCATGCCAAAAGTAGATATAGCAACGGAACTTGTGAATTCCATGTAAGCAAAAGGCTCTAATGTTATCAAATGTTGAATCAAACAACAACAACAAGGCCTTCTCATAAAGAAGCCATAACCCAAAAACAGAGAATAGATCAACAGAGAGAATTCATATATACAGATCGAGAAGAAGAGACTCACTGAAGCCATTTTCGACGAGGTAATTGAACGTATGACCATCGCAGTTGTATGTAAACTTGTTATTCGAAGAAGGAAGCTTCTGGAGACACTGTGCAGCGACGGAAGTGAAATTCCCTTTGAATTCTGTATACTCGGCGAGAATCACCGTACCACGAGCGACGAAGCTGTAGATCAAATTTTGCTGTCCCATTGTTTCTGATGTGACCCGAAGAAGAAGAAGAAAGCCCTAACAAATTCGATTTTTGAATTTCGATGAAAGAGAAGAGTTTGTTTTTTTGTTGTTTGTTTGTTTGGGTTTGTGTGTACGGAAGTAAGAAAGATCCAAAATACAAGGGAAAATTGAAAGGGAGAGAGAGATATAGGGACGACGCTGCGATCGATTTTTTCTCCCTTTTTTTCACCGTTTCGTTTAAATTAATTAGTACTCCCTCTGTTCCAAATTATAGGATGTTTAAGCCTTTTTTTCTTGTTCGACAATATTAGATTTTCTCAGATTTTTATGCATAATTTATGTATATTTAGTTTATTTATGACCTTTTGAATTCTGCTGTTTTTTTTTCTATTGGTTAAACTTTTATAAATAAATAAACATTTATTACTTCTTAATCTTTGTGCTTTTAACAAAAGCATCTTATAATTTGGAACAGAGGGAGTATTTAATTGCGTTATTTAATTCTCTAGTTAATTACTTTAATTAACTAACTAGATAATATCCCGCACTATGTGCGGGACAAAACGATTATTAAATATATTTTAATATATTGATAATATTGAAGGTGTTCGAATTTTATATTATTAGATAAACGGTAGTGTATTAATGATTATCAAGATTAATGAAAATTTTCATTTATGTTTATCATGATTTATAATATATATCTTGTTATATTAATAGATACACAAAATATTAAGTACTCCATTTTGTATAGATTTGTATCTCTTAATTACATATTTTTAATTGTATTTTTGTTTTAATTGAGAAAAATAAAAAGCATAAATTAATTAGAAAAAATAAACATAAGTAAAACTAATGGCAAAATATGTAAATATCCTAATAAATGTTGGGTCTTTAACTAAATAGATTGAGAAGCTCTGTGAGAACGACACGTCAGCATGGCATTTTCGTTAATCACACATGAGTGTAAGGTTATATTTTAAAAATGCTTCTCAATTAATATATAAGGGATGTTTTTGGTTTTTAGGTTGTTGATACTTTTTCTAAATTCTAACAATTCAATCAACTTTTAATTAAAAAGTACCAGTTTCGGAATAAATGCATACTTTTAATTGAATTGCCTAAGATGTTTTTAAGTTTGAATTATTGATACTTTACTTTTGCGAGAAGAAAATGTTTTGGTGCATTTTTTTCCTTTAATCCCATCAAGTTTTGTGTACGTTGATACCAAAAAAAAACAAAAAAAGTTTTGAAGCCTAGATCTCCCAACAACTTTAATTAGGTTCACAATAATTATCTCAACCCAATTTAATGATAAGGATAAAATAAAAAAGGCGAAGTATCCATTGAAGAACACGTGAAAAGGAAAAAAATTGACACATCTTCGTCGGCCAAATTCACGTTCAGGCAACAGTTTTATTTTACCGCCGGACTTCTGCAAACCATCACCCCTAAACTCTTTCTACAGTTCCTCTGCCGCCAATCCGATTTGATTTCACTGCTACCAATTTTAGATTCTTCTTCCAGATCTTCTTCTTCTCAACCCAAAACCAAACAAAGGAAGTTTCACCCAATACCTAAATTGAGGTCTATTTCGCAAAGCAACGAAGACGTAATCGTGAAGATATTACTCCAACTTTTAAGAAGAGTCAAGCCGATGGTGGAGTGAAAATCCCTGTAGAAAGAGGGGAAAGCAAAACAACAAAAAAATCTGATCTTAGCTAGTAAACGTACCAAATTAAGCTAGAAATTATTGAAATTCGACAAAAAATCGGATAACTCCGGAGGATGAATTTCGGTGAACCGGAAATTTCCTTCTCACTTTAAAAATTGTTTGTTTCATTCCGCATTGTTCTTTTTATTCATTCACTCTGAAGCCAAAGTATGTTAAGATAGAGAAGTTTGACTAGATTTCATTATTTTCTAAAAAAAAGTTCCTAAATTTTAAAGTAAGGTTGTAAAAAATGAAACATTAGAAATTTTCCGCTCTTTAAAATTTATTCGATCCATGATTTTGACTAAGACCAAATTATTCCTAATTATATGAATTATCTGTTTTAGGTGCGGATTTGTTTGCAATAGTGCAGTCATTAAAACATTTCATGTTAGTGTGTCTAGATTGCGGTTGTGGTAGTTGTGGTAGTGAGTATAAAAATGTTAATTGCGAAAGAAGAAAAAGAAGAAGAAAATAAAAATGATACACAAAGAGTAAAATTGTCATTAATTATCATATAAAATATAAAGAATATCATTTCTTTTTTGTTGGTGTTAGTTTCTTAACTTAAAATTTTTTTGATTATCCTGTTATTTTCTATAGCTTTTAATAAAAATATAGAGTTAGACGTTATATAACTGTCAGACTAAAATGCTCTTATGTTTATCAAAGTTTAACTGCAGATTAATCATTGTTTTTTTCTCAAATATCCTCTAACTAGCTAATGTTTAGCGACTTCAAAATCTTCACGTAATTTTCTTTAAGTATATCTCTGGTTAGATGTAAATATAACTCTCCGAAAGATTACACAGGGCATACGTCACGTGTATCAATTTTCTTCCAGTTGTTCTTTTAATAAAGACCTGCGTTGACATTCACCTAATAAAGACTATCTTTCGTGGACCATGATTACTCATCTAATTCACACAAGAAACATGAGGCGTTAATATGTAATATATGATATATCATTACATATACAGATATACTCCCTATGCAACTAGTTACGTACATGGGAATGTATAATATGTTGACCAGAAAAAGGTCCATCGCTGACTGTGTAACACTTCAGTTGAAACTAAAGATCAAAAAAGAAAATAAATTAAATGATTCAGCCGCGTCATCGAAAGAAATGTAAGTCGGATTTTTATGAATTACAATATGTAAATTTCGACGGTATACCAAAATCGTATTCCATTTTTTTGTATTCTTCTATCGAATTATAATAAAATTAATATTTAAGTGAAAAAGAAAACTGTCACGCAATATGTTATCTATATGACAATATCTTTTAGCAAAATAAAATAAAAAATATATATTATCTATATGAAAACTTACGAGAGTTTCAAGAACTCAAGCAACGTGAATTTTTTCGTAGCATAAAAAATCGTATAAAATCAATTTAAATGTCCACATGAACAAGAACATGTTTAAGCTAAATCTTGATCAAGAACATGTTTAAGCTAAAAATTTCAATCTTGTCCACATAACTCATAAATCCTCTTGTTATGTTCTTAAATAGCATGTTTATTTTCTTTCAATTGCAATATGTAACTAGTTATTTAATTTGGAGACGCTCCTGCTAATGCTATATTAAAATTTCATTACTTCATTGAAGTATTGACAAGAAAAGAGTCTATTTGCTATGCTCACTATATCACAATTTAGTCTGAACAAGACCAAAGAAAGATAGAAAATATATTATTTAATTCTGGAATGCGCGCACCGGGTAAAGAAATAGATAAACCCAATTTAATTTTCTCTCAAAATACTAGCTAGTACAAGCATGCTATTATAAATTTATATATATCAAGATTTTTTGATGACTTTTGTGAGTTTCAAGGGCTCAAGCCATCATTGTTTACAACTTGTGTGACTATATAATTAACAAGGCCACAAGAGAGTAATGATTCACATGACATGCCAAAGACAAAAATACATTTTCAATTCCTAAAAAATTTCACACTTATCCATCCAAAATGTCAAACTCCCGTTTGCGTTTACTCTCTCTCGTTTCCATTCTCTACTGTGTCGCTGCTCTCCGATGTCGTCCCGACCAAACCGAAACACTTAAACGTTTCAAAAACGAGTTTGCCTTCTCCAGCATCTGCAGCGACGACACCAACTTCTTCCGCGGTGTGGTCTGCGATAACACGACCGGTGCGGTCACGGTTCTTGAACTTCCCGGTGGATGTTTACGTGGCACTCTCAGACCAAACAGTAGCCTCTTCGAGCTAAGTCATCTCCGTTACCTAAACCTCTCTTTCAACAACTTCGATTCTTCTCCCTTGTCCTCTGCTTTTGGTCAACTCAACAACCTAGAGGTCTTGCTTCTCTCCTCTAATGGCTTCCTTGGACAAGTTCCTTCTTCTATAAGTAACCTCACAAAACTAGCCCAATTAAATCTTTCCCACAACAAGCTCACCGGTGATTTACCCTCACTTGTACAGAATCTAACCAAACTTGACCTTTCTTATAATCAGTTCTCGGGAACCATACCTTCTTCTTTCTTCACCATGCCTTTCTTGTCTTATCTTGATTTGAGTGACAATCATCTCACTGGCTCATTTGAAATCTCTAATTCTTCGTCAAAGCTCGAGATCTTAGAGCTTGGGAATAACCAATTTGAAGCAGAGATCATAGATCCTGTTTTGAAGTTAGTTAATCTCACGTATCTAAGCCTCTCGTTCCTAAACATAAGCCATCCAATTGACTTATCAATTTTCTCTTCTCTCCAATCTTTGTCATACCTTGCTCTTAAAGGCAACAGTTTAACACCAACGAGTGTGAATTCAGACATCGAATTGTCAAAGAACATGGAGATCTTGCTCTTGTCGGGATGCAACATCAGCGAATTCCCCAGATTCTTGAAGTCTTTAAAGAAGTTATGGTATTTAGATCTTTCCAGCAACAGAATCAATGGGAACGTCCCTGATTGGTTATGGAGTCTTCCTCTTTTAGTCTCTCTGGATCTTAGTAACAATTCATTCACCGGTTTCGAAGGTTCATTGGATCATGTTTTAGCCAATTCAGCGGTGCAGGTATTAGATATTGCTTTAAACTCTTTCAAAGGTTCAATCCCTAATCCACCGGTCTCCATCATCAACTTGTCTGCCTGGAACAATAGTTTCACAGGAGACATTCCTCTCTCAGTCTGTAACCGAACCTCTCTTGATGTTCTTGATCTGTCCTACAACAACTTCACTGGCTCAATTCCTCCATGTATGGGCAATTTCACCATAGTCAATCTCCGGAAAAACAAGCTGGAAGGAAACATTCCAGACGAGTTTTATACCGGTGCTTTGACACAGACACTTGATGTTGGATACAATCAACTAACCGGGAAGCTTCCAAGATCTCTCCTGAATTGTTCTTTCCTAAGGTTTCTAAGTGTGGATCACAACAGAATCAATGATTCGTTTCCCTTCTGGCTCAAGGCATTGCCAAATTTGAAAGTCCTTACTCTCCGTTCAAACAGATTCCATGGTCCTATATCTCCACCAGATGATCAAGGTCCTCTTGCATTTCCCAAGCTCCAGATACTTGAAATATCGCATAACACATTTACCGGAAGCTTACCAACAACATACTTTGCGAATTGGAGTGTAACATCTCACAAGATGTATGATGAAGAGAGGCTATATATGGGAGACTATTCGAGTGATCGGTTTGCCTATGACGATACATTGGATTTGCAATACAAAGGTCTATACATGGAGCAAGGCAAGGTTCTTACTTTCTACGCCGCCATTGATTTCTCAGGAAACAAACTTGAAGGAGAGATTCCAGAATCTATTGGTCTTTTGAAAACATTGATTGCTCTCAACTTATCAAACAACTCATTCACTGGACATATTCCTATGTCTTTCGCCAATGTGACTGAGCTCGAGTCATTAGACCTGTCAGGGAACAAACTCTCGGGAGAAATTCCTCAAGAACTTGGGAGACTATCGTATTTGGCGTACATAGATCTCTCTGATAATCAGCTCACTGGTAAAATACCACAAGGAACACAAATCATAGGGCAGCCTAAATCCTCATTTGAAGGGAATTCAGGGTTATGTGGTCTCCCTCTTGAAGAAAGCTGTTTAAGCGAAGACGCATCATCGACACAAGAGCCCGAAGAAGAAGAAGAAATATTGAACTGGAGAGCAGCGGCAATAGGGTATGGACCAGGAGTGTTGTTTGGATTAGCAATAGGACATGTTGTTGCTTTGTACAAGCCAGGGTGGTTCGTCAAGAATTATGGTCAGAATAGGCTCAGAGGCATTAGACACCCTTAGGATTAATTTGTTCTGTTTTCTTTTTGTGTAAATTGATCTTTGAGTATGTGTCAAGTTACTTAAAAACATAATTATGGCAGTCACTATAAAATTAGTTACTTCCATATCAAACAACGTATTCATGACTTCATGTTATTATGGAAACATAAAGAAACAGAACAAGTATTCTTTACAATGTAAAAAATTTTGAGTAACGAAAACTTTTAAGCTACAGTTTCTTGGATAAGGGTAGTTTCGTCATTTAAGGATAACAATTTAATATGGATTAAGCCCAAGAATGTAAAAATTGTAATCCCACCGACTCTCGTTAATTTAATCACACATTAAAATCAATTTCTTATTAAGAAAAGGAAACTTGAATTGTTGCTATTTAATCACAAACCCTAGCTTCTATATTTTCCAATTCTCATCTTTAGCTTCCTTCCTTGCCTACAAAGCTAACCTTTTTCTCTTTAGCTAGAACTCGAGTTTCCTTCTAGGTTTTATAATTTCTGTTTCTATATCTTCAAGAGATTTGATCACGATGATGAAATCTGATGATCGTAGTTTTTCAGAGCAGAGATGTTGGAGGAGATTACGCGAAGTTATCGGGCAAACGAGTCATGAAAAACCCCAAACCGTTGGTCGTTTTGAGGTGGAACCACCTTCGAGACCTTTGTTGGATGTGGACAAAGAGTACGGTACTCTAATCGAGGCTAAGAAAGACAACTCGAAAAAGGAGGAACCTAGGGTTTACTCAGGGCAGGTTAATATGGAGGAGGTGATGTACGAAGCTGTCGGAGAGTGGCTTGAGAGCCTCTTAGAACATAGATCAATTACTTCCGTGAAACCAGTACTACAAAACCCTAATTCGGATTCAGAATCTTCAATGTCATCTTGTGTCAGTCAGTCCAAGAAAAAACGTTGTTCCATTAACGTGGAAGAGAGAAGTCGCAAGAAACGCAAAACTGTTGTTAGTCCTTTAGAGGTGGAACCTATTCAAACGACTCCCCCGGATTGGCTTTTGAACGTGATGAGGAGAGAAGAGAACGGCTACAATCCAAAGCTGATCTCAACGAGGCAACTGTATAACACTGATCTCGCCGAACTTCAAGCACGCCTCTCAGTCCCTTTTAGGCAAGTGAAAACTCCGGACTTTTTGACAGAGGATGAGACAAGAAAATTACATAGAAATGCGATGAAGCTTTGTCCCGATGGTGTGAGTGTGGATTTGGTGGATCCTTTGTTGAAGAAGCATGTTCTTGAATTGAGGAAGTGGAAGATGAGTGGAAACTGGAATTATGTCTTTGTTAAAGGTTGGAAAAATGTGCTTGATGCTAATAGCTTTAAGGAAAAAGACGTCTATCCTCTCTGGTCTTTCCGATCTGGAACAGGAAAACTCTGTTTTGCTCTCATCCCTAAAAATTCCAGCAACGGCTCTACTTCAGGAGAATCTGGCCGTGGAAACTCTCTCTCTGGTGGCGATGGCGCTTCTACTTCCGGTGAATCTGGCCAGGTACCATTACCCATTCTTCCTTCGCATCCGGGAAGAGATTCTAGCCACTCCGGCCAAGGCTGTTCAGGAGAGAGCAGCTCTAGTTCTTCCTAATCATAACTCTGCTTATTGCTTAAGCCACAAGTAAAAGGGATTTAGTTTTCAGGCAATTCTGGCTTGGTATTCTTTCTTTTTTTGTTCAGTTGACTGAAATAGTGGGGTTTTGTCCAAATTGTGAGACCCATATGATATGTTTTGAATTGAGATTGTTTAAAGCTTAACTTTTTAGTTGAATTTTTTTTGAATGTTAGTATATGAATGAAAGTTCTTTAGTTATCCTTTGGAAATTTTCATTTTGATTCTTTATCTCTTTCCTTCATCTCTCTTTGAAACATGCCTGAAGCTGCCTCTGTTTACTGATGAAGCATTGAAAATGCAGAACAAAAGTGAACTTGTTTTCTTATATTATCACAAAAAGATCCATCAGGCTACAACAACACACAAGTGTAAAGTTTCTTGGCTCTAAACTCAAAGTCTAAGTTCGATCAATCATCACCATAGGCCTTGAAACAATACCGTTCACGGTAAGGAGCGTTAAAGAAAAGATCAGCTTCCAACCATTTCGGATACCGAACAAGATCTCCAGCTAAAAACTGCATATACCTCTTGCTTCCTTCGGGAACAACTCGAACCTCTCCTTCTTCAATGTAAACCAACTGATCCACCTGCCAATCCCATGGCAATTTGCACTTGCCTGTCTTCCAAACTGACCATCTCGAAACCCCGAGTTCCGCCAACCGTTTCTGTGAAACTTTCCGTTCCACTTTAACATTGTATAGCTCTTCCAAGGGTTTCTCTGTCTGCATACATGTCACCCTAAAGGCTCTCTGAACAGACAGGTTATTTGTCTTCTTACATGTAGTGATAGAACCTGGGAATGGTGTGGCCATTATCAGACTTGCCATGGCTCTATCCAATCCTCTGAAACAGAGTTTTGAATCTGCGGATAATAAAGAGAAGATTCATGAGAATCCACAATGAAGTTAAAATAACACATTTTGAACTTAAAAGTCTTCTTAACTCCTGAAACAGAGAAAGAAGGTGAATTTCTAAAGTCTAGTGTGTAAAAGTGAATTCTTTTGTAAAGCATAAGGCTTTATCATCTAACTCTTGCAATATCTTATGAATCAAGAACGAAACTTAACATTAACTCACAATTCAAGAATTTAGCTAATGCCCATTTGCTATTTCGATTGGAAAAGTGAAAAATCATCCCAAAATTGAAGAAATTAGCTAATGCCCATTAACAAGAAGATATACGAAATTTAACCCAACGAGCTAAAAAGGTTGTCGATTTCAAAACCAAAATGAGCGTAAGACAGATAATACGCATCGAACTCGAATTTCTTACCAGCGGAAGTGGTGAGTGAGAGAGTAACTTGTCGCTTCAAAAACCCTAAAACCCTGAACCAGAGGCTTATCCGATCCCGATTTGATGAATCAATAAAAAAGAAGTCGAGGATATAATAAAAATTACAGAAACAACCCTAATATTTAGATTTAGTTTTATTTTAGGCCAGACGTTTATTTGGAGCTAATGTAACCCAAATGTTTTTGTTTTGTATAACGTGTCACATTCTCTGACACATTGCATAATCTTTTCCAGTTTTCTCTTCACAAGTTTTATCTCTGTTTATCAAAAAGTTTTTTTTTTGGTAAAACTGTTTATCAAAAAGTTCGTGGTATCAAAAAGTTCGTGGTATTATAGCATTTTTTTGTGGAACTCAATGGTCATGGTGGTTCTGCAAATTCAACAGTTCAATGGATTCGTTAATTCCGTATCAAGGGCTCGAACAAACAGAGGAAGAAGGAGAGCTTCGAAGACAGTATGCGTTCAAACACAAGTGGCTCCCTCTAGAACACAGGTCAAGTTTGCTTGCTTGATGAATGATTCTGCTCAATTATGCATCATCTGGGGGGGAAATGAAACTAATGGCGTAATTGCAGCTTCATATTAGAAAAAGTTGCAAACTTTATCAGATATTGAGATGATTTTGTGGTCTGCATTGTGATGTAATCATTAATGGCGTAGTTCTTTGAAAAAAATTTTGCTCTTCTATCTAGTTGTTGTAGTATTTGAATCTTGAGAGCCTTTTAGAGAGATTACATAAGCATGTTTAACTTCACGATGAGATGTTTTTAGCTGAGTATGAGTTCAATCATTTCGATATGCAGAAGATTATGGAGAAGATTTCAGTTGGTGGAGAAGCTGGAGGTGCTGGTGGTGCTTACTCTTACAATGCCTTGAAGAGACTTGACAATATTTGGTCCAACATATGTACTCAACCAACAGGTAATAACAAACAATATTACCATTCAGATTATAAAGGAATGTATTCTCTTGGTGATGAAAGTTAGTCATTGCAAAACATCTTGCAGGACCGCAAGAAACTCAGCAAATTGTTTCTAGGGTATCTGGTTTTTCTCAAGATTATGGTATGGGGAATAATCTCGTTGGAACCTTTGACATAGTGGTTTGTGGGGGTACTTTGGGGATTTTTTTAGCCACGGCTCTATGTGCCAAGGGTTTAAGAGTCGCTGTGGTGGAGAGAAATGCAATCAAAGGGGTAAATCTTCTAGTTAATGCTGTTGTTGAGGTCTGTTTGGAGAAGCTATTGTTAAAGCTTTTTGGTTTTGTGGTGATTTAGAGAGATCAAGAATGGAATATCTCAAGAAAAGAGATGAAAGAGCTGGTTGAAGTTGGAGTTTTAACCGAAGATGAGATCGAAGAAGTAATTGCTGCAAAGTTCAATCCGGTAAAGCTTCTCTTCAGTAAGCAATGTATTGATGCTCTATTAAAATCATGTTTCTGAAGGTTATCTTGAACAAATGCAGAACAGATGTGGGTTTGAGAATCTTGGTGATATATGGGTTGAAGATATTCTTAACCTCGGCGTTTCGTGAGTCTTGTCTTCTCTTATTCTCTTATACAGAGGAAAAGAATAATCCCCTTGTGTTCTGCTACCTTCTAAAAATGCTGATTTGGTTTTCCGTTTCATATATTTAACCAGCCCAGCTAAGCTTGTGGAAACTGTCAAACAACGTTTCATTTCTCTTGGTGGAGTCATTTTAGAAGACTGCAGCCTCTCGAGCATCGTCATCTACGATGATTTAGCTGTGAGTTTTCTGGCTCTAGCACTTTCTTCAAAACACATTGTACCTAAGAAAAAGATTCAACTTATTGGTATGAATTGTTTGAACATTGTGATTGCAGGTTATGCAACTTTCTAAAGGTGACACATTATCTTCCCGTCTGGTCATCGATGCAATGGGGAACTTTTCTCCTATTCTGAAGCAGGTCATATATTGGCCTAAGAGCATATATAATTTTACATTTTCATTAGTTATAGTGGTAAAAATATTTAACTTACTGATTCGCTTTTCTTGAGAAAATTGTGTGTTAGCCCGTGACATTTTTCTCATCCGCATGTCCAAATACTTCTAGATTTCTGATTTTTCTTCTGCAGCTCACTGATAATAATACTTTTCTTGTTATGTATTCGGCTACAAAAGATCAAACGTGGTAGAAAGCCAGATGGAATGTGCCTTGTTGTTGGATCTTGTGCTCATGGGTTTAAAGAGAACTCATCAAGCGACGTCATATATAGTAGTTCAGCGGTGACCAAAGTTGCAGATTCTAATGTACAACTCTTTTGGGAGGTAAACAAGTCTGGTGTTTTCCCTATTCTAACACAATTCACATAACGACAAAGAATCGGCCTAATATAAGGCTGCTTATTGTTGTTTGAAGGCCTTCCCGGCTGGCTCTGGTCCATTTGACCGCACTACTTACATGTTCACTTACACTGAACCGCAATCAACATCTCCGAGTTTAGAGGATTTACTAGAAGAATACTGGAAATTAATGCCAAAGTACCAAGTGAGTGTCCTTTTTATGCCACATCTTTCATAAAGTTTCTTTCTTTCTTTTCTCTCTTTTCCTGATGTCTTTTGGTGCAGGGAGTTTCTCTTGATGAATTGGAAATACTGAGAGTTGTATACGGAATCTTTCCTACTTACCGGAATAGGTACGACCTTGACATGAAACTGCATTTCCCAGATAATAAATGAGAGTTTACTTATAATTTTGTTTTAGTTCATCTGTTAGCATCTATGGAAGTTGAAACTCTATTATTGATATTATAATTCTGTTTACCAGTCTCATACGATAATACTGCTGCATTCTGACATATCTAACCCTGTTGGATTGGACCTGTCACCAGTCCATTGCAAGCAGCATTTGATCGTGTTCTACAGGTGGGTTTTGTTCACTTATGCATAACCTTCCAAGAAAAGTGTGTGCGGCTTGATAATTTGATAAACTAAATAATCAAAGTTTCTTACAAATTTTTACTCAGTTTGGTGATGCTAGCGGCATTCAGTCACCTGTTTCGTTTGGGGGTTTTGGAAGTTTGACCAGACACCTTGGAAGATTGTCCAATGGTAAATACATTCACTCTCTGACATAACATTTGATGTCTCCATGTCTTAGTGAACATTATATTTGTAACATGAAATATTTCAGAATATAGTGCTAAAATCTTCAAATTTCTGATAATTTTTGTTCTTCATCTTAACAAAAGGAATTTATGAAGCAATAAACGGGGATTTTCTGGACACTGACAGCTTATCAAAGCTAAATCCTTATATGGTAATAAAGACTTATGGTTGTGAGCTATAATTCTTTCTTCTCTTCCATTAGCTTCACTAAAGCCATTTTGTCTTTTGAACAACAGCCAAACTTGAGTGCATCATGGCTGTTTCAGAGAGCAATGTCTGCAAAGCAACAACTCGATGTTTCCCCTGGCTTCACCAACGAGCTTCTCCATGTGAATTTCAGTTGTATGCAGGTATAGCAAACCTTCCTCCATGTAAAGAGATATGAATGTTTCGAACTCTAGCTTATAAGCAACGGTTTTATATTTCTCTTGTAGAGATTAGGCGACCCAGTTCTCAGACCATTTCTTCAGGATATAATTCAGTTTGGTCCTCTAGCGAAGACATTAGGCCTTGTCATGCTGACCAAACCTCAGATAATTCCGTCAATATTCAGACAGGTATAGCTTTGAACCAGAAACCCAGAAAACAGCAGAAACAAAAGATTGAATATGCTTTTAGTTTATTCATGAAATCTCAGTTGCTTTGGTGATTTCCTCAGGTTGGGATACCTGTTCTGCTTGATTGGTCTGTTCATTTTTTCATGCTGGGCTTGTATACGTTCCTCTCGGCATACATTGATCCATTAATAAGGTGAAATATTTCTGAATCTCTTTATGAAATTATGCCTTGATCGTTGCTGTTGCCATGACTTCCTGAACCTTCTTTATCTTTTTGTGTATTCCTCAGGCCGTCTTTAGAAGGACTTCCTTCAAAGACGAAGTTCGAATGGATGAGACGTGTCGAGGCTTGGAAATATGGAGCTGGCCTCGATTATGAGTTGTGATTCTGTTCGTATTTCACTGACAGCAGTATAAATAATTATATTTGGTGCCATCTCAGATTTAACAGTTCATCATATCTTCCATCTCAAAGACATCATCGTCCATAGTAAATATATATCTTTACAAGCTTCATAAATGTCTGGCTTCTCTAGCTCTTCATGCATATATACACAGAATCAACATCTCAGTCCTTAGATTTTGTGCACAGGTCTCTAAAAAACTCCTTCAATATCAGCTTATACACCTAAAGTTCAAAGGCTTTGTCATCTGAACAGACAATTCCTTCATAATAATATAATATACCAAAAGAGTGGAGCTTCATTTTCTTTACCGCGTTGGCATCAATGGTCGCTTGATTGATTCACGTGGATGCTAAATGAGCATACTCCAAAAGCAACGTCTGATACATACCCGACCCCAACACTCAAAGAATCTTTCAGAAAAAGGTTATATTCAAGTAAACTGATTTTAACCATCAACAGGTAAATCTCAGGGTTTTACTGTCTCAAACAGATCTTAGTTTGACAATAATGTCTCGGGTGAATGCATACTTCCAATGAGTGCAGTATAAACCTTATTATCTATTGTATACCCTTTCCTTTTCATCTCATCGTACAATCCAAAGGCTTCGTCTGATTTTCCAGCTTTGGACAAACCCGATATCATCACCGTGTATGTAACAGAATTCTGGTCCAAACCCTTCAACCCCATCTCGCTAAAGAGCCTCATTGCTTCATCCACGTTATCAGCAATACATTCCCCGTGTATGAGTGACGTGTAGGTATATGAATCCGGATCCATCCCATTTGCTTTCATGTTGGCCCATAGTTTACGGGCTTCTTTTACATTCCCTTGCTTGCAGTACGCGTAGATCATCACATTGTATGTGATAGCGTTGGGCTGTACTCCCTTGCTGCTCATCTCCACAAATAGCCTCTTTGCCTCCTCAACGTTCCCTTCTTTGCAGTAAACATCGATCAAATTAGTATAACTAACCGTGCTAAGCCTCACACCACCCTCCATCATCCTGAACAGCCATTGCTTTGCCTCATCATATCTTTTCAATCTATTGAAACAGCTAGCAATCGTATTACAGGTGAAAACATCAGCTTGAAACCCTTTCTTCTCCATCACATCATAAATCATTGATGCTTCATCAATCATCCCTTTCCTACAATACCCATTAATCAACGTATTGAACACCACCTGAGTGATATTAACTCCTTTACTTTGCATCTCGTTCATCAATATCTCAGCTGCACCCATTTCCCCTACCTTACACACCCCGTCGATAAGCGCCCCATAAGTATGACTACTCGGCAAAAGTCCCTTCTCCGTCAATTCATCAAACAACAAAAACGCTCTTTTTATATTTCCCTTTCTACAATGCCAACTTATCAAAGAAGTATACACATGAATATCAGATTCTATTCCTCTCTCACGCATTTCATCGAACAGCTTCTCCACATCATTCATTTTCCCATTCTTAACACTCAATTCCATCAAAAGTGTATATGTAACCTTATTATACACCACACCATCTTTCTTCATCACCTTCAAAATCTTTTCTACACCAAAGAAATCTCTTTGCTTAACATAAGCATTGATAATGGTGTTGTAAGTATAAGCTTCAGGTTTAATCCCTTTAACAGAAAACTCCTTAATCAGCTTCTTACTCTTCTCAACTTCACCTCTTCTACATAATCCTTCAACCACAATCGTCAATGAATAAACAGTTATCTTCACTCCAGAATCAACCATTCGCCGGAAAAAGTCTAGACAGAGATCAATTCTCCGGCGTTTCTTCGCCGCAACCAAAAACACAATGCATGATCTTTCATCAATACTCAATCCCTTTTTAACCATGTAATCAAAAACCCTTAAACCCTCTTCAAACATTCCGTTATCAACATAAACCCTAAATACCAAATCGAAAAAAGTTTCCAAAAATTCAAACTTTTCTTCAGAAATGTCACAATCCACCATCGCTGATCCTAAACTCTCAACTGGGCGCTCGTAAAACCCGTCATTAACAACCGAATTCAGAAGCAATCTCATCTCACTGAACCTCCGGTTAGAATAAAGCCGGTGAGATAAAGTCACTACCGCCGTGAGATCGGGTTTGAGATTGGATTCGAATTCGCGAAGAAACTTGAAGAAATCGACGCACGAATGAGTGGCAAGAGATGGTTCAGATAGAACGAGACGGGTTACGTTTGAATTCAAATTGAAGAGAAGAGATAAATTCGATTGAAGTTTTCCGATGCTTGATTTCTCCACAAGGCACGCCGTGATTCTTCTGGCTGCTTCTTGGTCTGAAATCAAAACTGGAGATTTCTGATTCTGAGTTACAACGTTGAAGAGTCGCAAGAGTTTGCGAGAAGAAGAAGAAGACATGGTTCTTAATTCTTTGCTCATGATTCGCTACAGAAGATTCAGAGTTCAAAACTGAAACAATGGCTAGAAAGCCACTTTTTGGAAAAAAATATGCTGGAATGCCACCCTCATATTTCCATTTTCTTTTACAATTTTTTTTAAGCTCAAAAACTAAGGAAATGCCCAAAAACCCTTTCAAAAGATTACAATTACAAAACCCAACCTGAACTTTACTATCTCAACAACCAAACACTCTCAATCAATTTCCAATTATTCCCTCAGAAAACCATCACAACCATGGCTACTTCTCTCCGCACAACCACCGCTGCTTCTCGTCTCCTCCGCTCTTCCTCCTCTTCCATATCCACACTCGCTCTCTCCGCTTCCTCTTCTCTCTATTTCGCCAGATCTCTCGTCTCTTCTCCACTTCTATTCTTCATCTCTCTCTCAGGTATGTCTCACTCTCTCTTCTAAATCTTAGCCCTGATTTAAGTATATCTTGTCATATTCTATAATTTTGCGACCTAATTTGATTCATATCTGCTGGAATTTAGAAGAGACATCGAATTGCGTCTGTGAATCGGAGCTTTAACTTAGCCGCCGCCACGAAATATTCAGTTTGAGATCAGTTGAAAAATGCTAGAGAAGATACCAAAGAGCTGCTCAATTTCAAATTCTGCCATCCAATTTTGTGCCTCTTCTCAAAAAAGTTTTCTTCTCTGATTCCTAAGAAATTGCTACGTTTTATTGATGTTGATAGTATGTTTGTGTTGTGTTTCAATCACAGGTTTGGTAAGGGTGGCATGATGCTGGAACGTTTAACAAGTACATCAAGGAATGTCCATAGAGAGGTGGAGCTAATGCAAGTCTCATATTTGAGATTGCGCTTAAACATGCTGCTAATGCCGGTAATATAGCTTTATACCATATGTGTTAGCATCTTTTTACATGTTTGTTTCGTTTGTTTGTTATAAGCTTTGTTTGTTGTTTTTTTTTAGGTTTTGTAGCTTTAAACTTGATTAAGGATATCAAAGAAAAATACTCTTGGTCAATGATTCATAGTTTCTGATACGTATAGGAAGTATGAAACTTTTTAGTGTGAATTTGTTGGTTATAAAGTTTTTGTTTCTGACCCGAGGAAGTAGATTACATTAGTTTCTGGATGGGATTTGATCCCTGTGAAAATCTCTTAAGCACTCAGTAGAAATCAAGAAGTCATGACTAAGTCCCATTCATGCTTGTCTTACGCTATGATATTGCCCTCCATGTCACAAAATTGTTGCATTTTGGGTTTCCAAAGCTACCATTCTGCTCTTTAAAATTCAGCCTAGCCATTGGCCAGCAATGGTTTCACTTTTTCCCTTAGTGTAGGACCTTTGTCTAGGCTTCTTGTTTCATTCCTTCATCTGCTTGAATTGGCTGGTTTTGGCTTTGCAGTGTTGCTCTGTCAAATATAGAGAAGAAGTGGAAGAAAGAGCTTGATCAAGAACTGGAAAGAAAGCGCACAAGTCAAGTCTTTTTGTGACAATCATGATTTGCATTTCCAGGATTGCACATAACTTATGTTTTTGAATTTCATTTCTGTGTTTGTTGTGTTGTGGATTAAGAACATATGACTTCATGTTTTTATAAACCAAAAAAATATTTAGATTATATTTATGTTCAATTGGTTTTGTAGGTACAACTGGTCTATTTAGGTACAACTACATGTATGTGTTACATAGAAGAAAGTACAATTAGATCACTTAGGTACAACTGAAACAATTAAAAATAAAAATTTTAAAAAAATATTAACAAAAATTGGTATTAAAAAATATTAAACATTTTACCAAAATTTTTTTTTTTTAAATGACCCACGTAAGCATGATTTTGGCGGCGGAATATTAATAAAAAATTTGACCGTGTGGTAAAGTGGGCCAATGACAGCAGGATATTAATAAAAAAATTGTTTATTTTAAACATAGTTGTACTAGTTGTACAGTTGTACTCTTATATTCATAGTTGGACTTTAGCGATTTTTGTGTATTTCCAGTTGAACTTTAATGAAAATTAATAATTTATAGTTGGACACATGATGTTACACTATTAATTATCATTTAGGATGTTTTCATAATACAATGTTCAGAAAAACTTGGTTTTCACCTCTTTTGCTTCAAATGAGGCGATCTTGTACTAAGTCTTCCTTATACTAGAAGGAGTGTTTTCTGTGAAAAAACAAAATTTGTTACAAAATTTATAAATTCTACTTATATTAATTTTAAATACTTTATTTATTTTTGAAGATGTTTTTAGGGAATTTCTTATATAAATCTTAATTTATAACTTAATAATTTAATAAAAAATACAAATTTGATGTACATAGTTGAACTAGTTGAACTAATAGTATGTATTAAAAAAATGATAAATTCGAATTTTATTTATTTAAAATTGTTTTTATAGTTCAAGATGTTTTTGAAATCTTTATTAACTCTAATTTATTGTTTCCATAATTGTTAAATACAAATACATATACATTTATGAGCGTAGTTATACCCAGTCGAACCTAGTTGTACAAATACGACAAATAAATACATATAAAATCCGAACAGTGTTCTCGAGATTATAACATTTGGTTTCCCACAAACGTGATCTCACACGGTAATACGCCCTCCTTTGATTCCATATTCCTGAAAAGCTCAATCGCTTAAGTGTTTTGGCTTCTTCGACTCTTCCACATCTGACATACAAGTTCAAGAGTACATTGTTGGAATATAAGTTTCGTGTCAAACCCACTTTGATCATATATACATGAACTCTCTTACCCAATATCAAAGCACCAAGCTTTGCACAAGTAGACAACAAGCTAACGATTGTGAACCCATTAGGCTTGATACTCTTAGAATCCATTTAAGTATAAAGCGCCAAAGCTTTGTTTGGTTTACCGTTTTCTACAACACCATTAATTACAGAATTTCAAGCTATAAAATCTTTCTCAAGCATTTTATCAAACACCTTGTATGCATTAGCTACTTCTCCACAATTGGCGTATAAATGAAGCAGAGAGTTCTGAGCATATATCAACGAACCAAACCCACTTCTTATAACAACAGAATGAATCGTCTCTCCCAACTGAACATCCGCCATTTTTGCCACAACTTTTAGAAGAAACGGATATGTATGAGTATCGGGTACAAACTCTCATATATGTATTTTTGTGTATGTATCTCCGACGATTTAAGGATTGAGATAGGAAAAAGATGGTTTGAGATGAAGGAAGAAGTGAAGCTACGGCGAAACAGGGAAAGAGGAAGAGAAGAATTGTTGGCGTCGTCCACAAATTTGATTTTTTTTTTTTTTCTTTTTCTTTTTATTTGTTTGTGTTTTAGTTTTAAAATAAATAAAATATATTAACAATATTCATTAAGGGTATAAAGGAAATATCACAAGGAGAGGTGGCATAGAGACTATAGAATGGCAGGCCTGATTCATTTTTCCGGTTCAGTGGCTTTCTAGCCTGTGACTCTTCAAAACTCTTATTTTCACTTCACTTCGCTCCCCTAAGTCTTGGTGTTGGTTTATGGTCGGTTTGCACCCATGCTTTAGCAGCATAACAAACCGGTTTAATTGACCGATTATTTGGAGTTTTTAAAGAATAATCGGTTCGTGTCTTTTCAAAGTTTTTTTTGCCTTTGTCTACAAAAAAAAACGTTTTGATTTATCTGTGATTTAACATCGATTTCCAGTCAATTTCTTGTCGTATTCCTCATTAGATCGGTTGAAATATGAATTCAGGTTTAATTTTCCGTAAAAAATAATAAATTTGGTGATATGCCAGTGTCACATCACTATATATTAATTTTTCTTATTATTTTACAGAAAATAAATAAATAAAAGGGATTTTTGCCAAATGTACCACTTTTTCCCAATTTCTTTCAAAATCTACCACATTTCTATCTTTCTTTCAAATCATACCACATTTACATGCAAAGTTACCATTTTGCCCTCACTACTTCACAACATCCACTTTTTCTATTCCCTATTAATCTCTCATCCCTCGAGATCCGTGCACTTTAACCCCACATCATTATCCCCCTCAGAGAAACACAAAACACTTTCGTCTCTCTCTCACTTTCCCTTTCTCTTTCTTCTTCAGATCTTGTCTCATAATAAACGCTTTTGTTTTGTCTCTAGATCTTGTCCCCGATTGAAAATTCTCTGTTGCGTCTAGATCTTGTCCCCGATTTCATCAGCTTGCTCTATTATCATGAATCCCAGATGATATGGTTTTACCAGCCTGCAGAGATCTGGATTTACTCGGGGACAACATCTCTTAATTATCCATCGCCAGATGGTGTGGTTTTACCAGCCAGATATCTGGATTAACTCGGGGACAACTTGATCGTTTTCATCCCTCTGACACAGTGGATGTTGTGAAGTAGTGAGGGCAAAATGGTAACTTTGCATGTAAATGTGGTATGATTTGAAAGAAAGATAGAAATGTGGTAGATTTTGAAAGAAATTGGGAAAAAGTGGTACATTTGGCAAAAATCCCTTTTCAAAAGGGTTTAAAAAGATTTATAAGGGGTTTTTAAGGGTTTTGAAAGGATTTACAAGTGTTTTCCAAAGGTTTTAAAAAGATTTATAAGGGGTTTAAAAGCAATTTAAATGAATTATAAGGGTTTTAAAAAGAGTTTATAAGTGTTAAGATTTTAAAGAGTTTTAAAGGTTTAAAAGTGTTTTAAAAAATTTTACAAAAGTTTTTATAGGGTTTATTATGATTTTAAAAGGATTTTATAAGAGTTTTAGAAAGATTTACAATGGTTTTCAAAAGATTTTGTAAGGTTAATACATAAGTATGGAATCCCATGAGAAGTGTAGGTTAATACATAAGTATCGAATCCCATGAGAACAAAAAAAATATTTACACACCAATATTTGGGTACCACTTTTCAGAGAAAGTTTAGGCCCAATACCACATTTGGGAAAAGCTTTTGAAATGTACCACATTTCAATGCCACATGCTTAAAGCCGGACGAAATTGCCCTTGATGGAGAGAGAAGTGTGTGTCAGAGAAAGGGACAACTTGGGACAGGAGGGAGCAGTCTGCATTTAATGCTGCACGTTTACAAAATTTCTGCCGTCCTTTTTGTCTCTCTCCTGGCGCATTGGTAACCGTTTTCGTCCCCGATTGAAAATTCTCTGTTGCGTCTAGATCTTGTCCCCGATTTCATCAGCTTGCTCTATTATCATGAATCCCAGATGATATGGTTTTACCAGCCTGCAGAGATCTGGATTTACTCGGGGACAACATCTCTTAATTATCCATCGCCAGATGGTGTGGTTTTACCAGCCAGATATCTGGATTAACTCGGGGACAACTTGATCTTTATTTTATTCTGCCAGAGAGCCGAAGACGAAGATCTGGATTTACTCGGGGACAACTTCGTTTTACCAGACAGAGGGACGAAAACGGTTACCAATGCGCCAGGAGAGAGACAAAAAGGACGGCAGAAATTTTGTAAACGTGCAGCATTAAATGCAGACTGCTCCCTCCTGTCCCAAGTTGTCCCTTTCTCTGACACACACTTCTCTCTCCATCAAGGGCAATTTTGTCCGGCTTTAAGCATGTGGCATTAAAATGTGGTACATTTCAAAAGCTTTTCCCAAATGTGGTATTGTGCCTAAACTTTCTCTGAAAAGTGGTACCCAATCTAATTTTCCCTAAATAAAACTCGATCACTAGAAAATTTTAAAAGTGTTTTCTTTATAACACTACCTCTTGGAGACATGATTGATCCTTGGAGTGTCATCGCTTATATGAAAGTAATGATATATAGTATACTTTTGTTAGTAATGTGCGTCTATCGATACGTATACGACTTTGAGTTGGCCTTGTTGGGGATTATAATGTTATATGTGCTATAATTGATATCAAGAAAACAACTACACCTTTTTCTCTATTTTCAACTGCATAATAATTTTGTTGACCAAAGTTGATTTTCCTTATTGCTGAATAACAAAATGCGCATGCGTGAAACACTAAATTATATTGAAGTAGTGATGGAAATAATTGGGAGCAAAACATTTTGGTCATTTCTTCCTAGCTACTTCTTTTTTTCATAAGATAATAAATATCTCAAGGTTTTTATAAATAAAACACAAGGTACACTGAAAATATAGAGTTAAGTTTTCTTAGAAAAAAAAATAGTCATTCTTGTAGATCCATTTTTCAGCATCAAGAAAATATTAAACCATGCATAACTTTCAACATCAACCAATAATACTGATTATCATTTTCCATAGTAATTAAGCTTCTTTATACTAATGATCGGCTAATTATTGAAAATTTATTTTTATCGAAGTCTAGAAAACAATTTAACCGAGATTGCAGTGGAGAGATTTAACTCATGCCGTGCTAGGAAATAGCCTGTGGAGTCAGCTACTACTCTATTAAACCTCATACATCCATAATCCATTGAAAGTTTTTTAGGTAAATGAAATAATTTATAATAGTCTTTAAACCCTAAATTTTACGTACTAACAAACGAAATAATCTTTCCAAACATATATAATAGTATATTTCTGATCCGATTAAACTATCCTTTTCCTCAAACGAAATGTATTTATGCTCGACTAACTATTGAGTGTTAGTAATAAACAAAAGACCATAAAATGTTATTAATCATATAAGCAATCATTTTTTGGATATATATATTTTTCGAGCACACAATTACATATCTATATTAACATATACATGTTAATTTAACACCATACTCATCATCAGTCGCAATTAATCTAAATTCTAAACTGTCAAAATTATGCATACCCAACTTTAAATATGTTTTACAAAACTTCTACATTAACACTACATTACATGCCCACATGATGGTGGGCTGGTGCCTTGGCGGGCCCAGGGTGGTTGGGTGCAACTCCCTCCTCTCCATGGTTCGATTCCTCCCTCCTGCTGTTATCAACATAATTGTGGGAAGTCTGTCAGTTGGGCTTTGGTCCAATTGGTTTACCTGGTAGTCAGAAATGCAGGCGACCTGACTACCCCCTGGCACTTAGTCGGAAGGCATTCCAAACTCGGGATAGGCAGAGTGGTAGCCCGAAGGGCCTAGCCGTTAACACGGTGGACCAGTCCACTATGTAGCACCTCGGTGCGTTCCTACCGGGGCCGACCGGATAGCCGATAGGGTTTATAAAAAAAAAAACACTACATTACATGGGAGTGTGTATACATCATATATGTGTATATATACATCTCACATATATTTTCAAGTTTAAAAACAACGAGAGGGACAGAAGAAAAAGAAAGATAAAAGGAAGAAATTTAATAATCCTATCGCTTGTTATGTAAAGGGTTTGACCCCGTCGGAATCATTCTTTTTTCCGGCTTGATTTCTCCCTCGCCGATAACACATGTGGCATAAGAGGGGAGAACACCTCTGTCTCTTCTAGAAGGTCCGGATGAAAAGCTTCGTCTTTCAACAGCATGGATTCTTGAAGCAAAAACGAGAATGAAGAGAAGAACAAAGAGGAAAAGAAGACTAAACCGAGTCATTCTCTTCTCTTAGAAAAGTGAGGAAAGTAAACCCAACAAAAAAATTGGAAAGAAACCTTTTTGATGAGAGATGGTTGCGACTATGAGAATTTAATTGATGCCAAAACTTCCATATGATGTCGTATTTGTTGCGTTTTATTCATGTGCGGACAGAGATGGTCCACTTCTTAAAAGTCTCTTCATTTTTTTTTTGACATAAAGTTTTAATTTTGCTATAGTATATAGAACATGTAGTCAACTAGTTTATACTAGTGTCGTCGTCAAGATACTATCCGAATTCATTATTTGCATAAATGCATATTTTGATATAAAAAAGTATAACTTTATAAAATAAGAACTCTTTGTTCCTGAAAATAACTGATGGGCATGCTTTTGACAATATATTCAAATCTCCAAGATTAGACGAACATTAGTTTAGTGTTGTTGTCTATTTTCTGGTTTAACTGACTATGTTTGAACCTATTTTGTATGTTTAATTTGCTACTTTATTAGTGTGTATTTGTTATGGAGGGATGAAAACGTGGTTTCTTAGAAAACCACAACTGCATTATCTATGTTTGCCAGCGAACAGTTTGTATTATCTGAAAACAGTCCTCTTGCCTAAAATATAAGTTAACAATTGTACGAAAATTTGTGAAAATTTGGGAATGTAGCAAATATAGTATGGTGACCACTGACCACCCCGGCTAATATTGAGCCATTAGGGTACTGATGTTTTTTTTCTTTCCTTTTTTAATTTTTGTGGGTAAAAGGTGAGTATATTTGTACCACTCGAACCTAGGACTTCCACCTTCTTCTGGCCCTACTTAAGGTTACATGATTCACACTAATACATTGGATCTCCATTGTTTTTAATTTAATAGCTTGCAAGTTCTACACTAAATTTTTCAGAATAACGCCTTTTTTTTCTTCTTCTAATTATTTCACAGCTTAAAACTGCTTCACACATTAGTTAATAGCCTATTTGGTACGGGCAAAATAGGTATGGGCAAACATTTGGTACGCAAAATAAAGTTACATGTATAATTGAATAAATAGCATTATCAATTGAGACAACCATGATAAACTTAGCGTAGGAAAACAACAAACACATATCACTATACTACTTTGAAACAGAGAAAAAAACAAATAAAACTGTTAAAAAGCCAGCTTTAGAGAGAGTAGACAATGGGATTCCATATTTTCCTTTCTCAAACAAACCTATTAGAAATGGAAGGAACAACATCATTACCAAAACACATCCACAAGCCTCTGCCAAACCTGAACCACCTCCTCCGTGGCTGTAACCCGACCGTTGTAGACCCACAGAAAAAACTGCTAGAGCGGCTAGATTCACCAACACAATAAATGTGCCAGGCAAGAAATGAAGTGAGCCATCAAATTCAAATTTACTTGAGTCTGAGTTTGGACCATCGTCTTCTCCTTCAGAGGGTCCATGAGGCACAGTCTTTTTAGTGATTCTGAACACCGTTTCCGAGATGCCAAGAAGCTTAAGAGTGATATCAAAGATGCTAAATAACCAACTACTAGTGGCTACTATTCTCCAAACTGATTGGGAGACTAGCCACGATTTTACGGAATAACCAAGGCTCATAAATTCCCATAGAGTATAGAGACAATGCATCCCAACAAGTGTAATTGTTATGCCTAGATAAGTTCCCTAAATACACATAAAAAAATAAAATAAAAACATTAAAAATTTCCCCCTAAATTAAACAAAATCTTTTTTTGAACCTTACTATGAGTGAAAGAGAGAGAGAGAGTCACCTTGGGAAATAAGGCAGAGTTGTGAAGTAGGCAATAAGCGGGAAGGAGACAATAGATAAGCTCAGGGATTGACCTTAGACAAGTGATAATGCAAAGATAAGCTAATCGTTGTCGGAATCTTATTTTCTTACAAAACATTCCTCGCAACGGACTTTGTTTGTTGAAAAGGATTTCGATCCATCCAGTCGCCCATCGACGTTGCTGGAGCAACGCCTCGGGTAATCCTTGCGGCATAGATCCAAGAAATGCAGGTGTATCCGGAGAAATGTATGAGCTAGTCCAACCTCTCGAATGTATTTCAATACTCGTGTTCAAATCTTCCGCCACTGAATCATATAACCAACCGATCTGCATAACTTTCAATATTAGAGAACTTTTTGAAAGCAAAATAATATTGTTTGATTAAACTGAGAAGAGAATTATATTATACAGTGTTTCCCCAGCTGGTTTGGTGCTCGTAGTGACAATGCCCAACTTCTTGAGCCGCTTCTATGGAGTTTGTAAGTATATTTTGTGGATTTGGATTTCTTTGTATCGCATCAACCACCGATTTTATCATCTCTTTCGAACTACCAAATCTTCTTGCTAAACTATCCTCAGTCAAAAACTCCCCTTAATGAAATAGCAACAGCAAGGGTCAATGATTTTGATATATGATTACTTGATTAGTGAAATAACTCAATATATAGTAAAACTGTATAACAACATAAATATTATGAATTGGAGGTTAGATAGAAGAGCATGTGCGGTGGTAGAGACTTTCAAAGTCTCTCGCATATATTATATTTCAATACATATAGTTTAATTTAAATTTTAAACAATAGAAAAAATATTCAATATCAATCACATGTTGACATATGTAAAAGTACTCTATTAAGAGGTTCTTAAGAATTTTCAAATAAGAATAGGTTCTCATCTCTCTCTCATACTTTTTATTATTTTTGTTTTTTTATTTTGTTGAAAACCCCTTTAAATCTAGGATTTAAAACTGTATTTATAACTAGGATTTAAAACTGTATTTATAATCTTCTTGCTAAACTATCTCATTTCCCATGCTCTAATAGAGCGGTAAATCTTACATTATAAATACAGTTTTAAATCCTAGTTATAATAATAGAGCAATAAATTTTACATTATAAATACAGTTTTAAATCCTAGTTACGAGTTATTTGGACGTTACTAGTGTATAATTAAATTTTTGAAGATTAATATGATAGACTTACTTGTAGCAACCGAAGAAAGGCTTCCATTGACTTCTAAATCGTCCGGAGATAAGCCGTACATAACTCTTCTAGTGTGGACGCATCCTGAGCCTATATATATCGGTCCTTGGATTCCCGCAATTCCTCGTCCCAAATACTAAATTCAACAAAGAAAAAAGAAAGATTATAAATAACAATGTATTGATCAGAATTACAGATAAAAAATTAAAAAGGAGAAATCGCACTGATTGTAGGACGACAATTTGGTCGGTGTTAGAATCATAAAAATCTTGAGGGTATTGAACAAAAGCACAATGGTTTGAATTCATTGATTTTTGCAGAAATATACACATTGCTTGTCGCACCACATCTGCATCATTGGCATACATGTCGCAGTCCACGTTCAAGATGTATGGTGCGTTTGTCATCAACCCTGACACTCTTGCCTGTTCAAACTCATCATATGCTTATCACATTTTCGTTACAACAAAAAAAAACCTGTGATGTGAAACTTCAGAAAAAAATTCATTAACCAGAAAGTTCATGGCTCCACATTTGTGATGATGAACATAATTTGGTCTTTTCTCTCTTGAAATGTACACAATATGAGGGACCTCTTTCTCGTCTCCTACACCTCCCTTGTTCTCCCATACCACCTTCATATAAACACATAAAACAACAATTCATGTAATTGTTACAATTAACGTGTGAATAACTAAAGTTAGAGACTTGATTGTTTTACTTTAGAGATTTTTTAAAATACCTTAACTATAGTTGAATGATCATTTGGTTTTGTGTTTGAGAATGCTTCAAAATCATCTTCTACATCAAACAAATGGGAATCTCCGGTGGCATCTTCCACTTTCCGGCTCAACTTCTGGTACTCCCTCTTAATGTTTAAGATCAAGAAAACCTCAATATATAAGATAAAAAGCTAAGAACAAATCTTCAGATCATGTTCATCTTTATTATTAGGTCTCGATTGTTTCAAAAGAAGAATTTAATCTGTAAATAAGCACACAATAATTTAATTTGTAAACATAAAAAATGTCACACACCTAAAGAAAATCAAACCCTTTTTTACCTTGGTCGTTTCCCAGTCTTTACTGAATTCAGAACCCTCTGTTGCGTCGCTTATAGGGTTCAGAAAATATCTAAAAGGAGCTCTAACTCTAATGTTGTACTTCTTGCAGAAAGGTACCCAAATCTTGGCAAACTTTGAAGCTTCCTTGAGAGAGAAGTAAGTAAGAGGTGAGCATCCATCATCCGACACATAGCAAGCTAGTTTATTCGCTGGATAATTTACGGCTAACAGCGAAAGCACAGTGTTCACAACCATAATTGGTGGCTCTCGAACAGGATCCGCCGTGGGCACAAACATATCTACCAAAGGAAGGTCATGAACCCTGAAATTACAATAGGCCAGCTCAATGAAATAGAAATATAACATAGAAATAAATATTACATCGTTAGAATGAAAAACTAAGGCTAGGTAGCAACTAGCAAAGAGTTTATACAAATTCAATAATAATATTGCTTTACATTATTACATGTATATATGTTAATAAGAATATTTGTATATATGATTTTTTGTATAAAATGAAAATGGTACCTTTCATCAAGTCTATCAGGAAAGGGTTTAGTATCAGCAGGACTCCATTTTAGGCAGGTAATAAGCAGACATACCAATGAGAAACAAGTTTCACAAAAGAAAGCAACGCGCCAAACGGTGTCATATTCGCTCATATGTCGGATTCGGTGCGAGAGAAGAGAAAAGAAAAGACCGAGGATCGTGAGATACACAGCTCTTAGAAAATAATTCGTGTATGAGATCCTTTCGCAAAGAGGAGGGAGAGAAAAGCTTGAATCCGCCATGGGAAGGGCTTTCTTGCAGTTTTTGGATATATTTCGAAAGGTATAAATAAAAGTTAAGGTCCTTCACATCAACGAATGCTTGTATATAAATACCCATGTGGAAACTCCTAAGTAATGTGCTAATTAGTAATTAGAGTTAGTGATGATTCCGTATAAGAAGGGAAGCTTCACCTTCGTTAAGATCACGAGAACGAGAAACCTAAAAGTCAAAGTGTTTGTTTCTTGTGGAAGAAGTAACACGTTGAGGACGAAATAACTGGATAACGTATAAGAGACATATCTATATATACATTTTTGGTGAAGATTTGGCCTCAAAAATCCTTTAACAATTTCAATATTGTACATTTAGTCCCTACAAATAAAATCTGGAAAAATATATGTCTTAATCAAATTTACAAATCAATAAATAAACTCTTAAAACATTTCCTATTTTTATGGTTACGAGATTTGAGATCCTAACATATGGAAGTCAAATATTCAAAATTAAAACTATTAATAACCAAAATCTCGGTCATATCTACTAAATATAAACAACTAACCAAAAGCTAATCGTAATCAAATCTTAATTACCATTTCAATATTCAATATTTATAAATAACTAGAATATTTCAATATTCTTCTAACAAACGAATATTTGATAATAAATTTGTCTCCTACAAAAATGGTAAAAAAAAAATTTCGAATAACATTTGTTTCCTAAATAAAAGGAATAATATCAGATCGATATTCAATCACAACAAATAAATTGGAAATGATTCCTAACTAAACGACTAAAAACTTACCAAATTTGGATTCGAAATCAATAACAATAATTAGTTATATCAATCTTCAGAGATCTTGAGAACTAAATTAAAGCATATTCTTTAAACATCCTATATTCAAATCTTATATTTCTCGAAGATATTTTGGCATTTATTTCGGAATTATTATTATGTCAATGTTGGTTAATAATATCTAACAATTTAATTATTGATTTGAAAATATAGAAATCGTATATGAGTTATAACAAACAAATATTTTCAAATAAAATGGTTTTCTATTTAAATGCTAGCAAAAAAAAGTCATAAATTTTTAATGCCATAACAAAAAAGAACTCAATAAATTGATATATTGTTCTAACAAGTCAATATTTAATGCTAACAATAAATTAATTTGATACACGTTTTTAATTTAATGTTAAAAAAAATTAATTTTTTCTTACTTTTTTTAGTTATGGCATTAAAGATTTATTGCCAAAAATAAAATAAAATTTGAATGCTAACAATAAACATAAATGTGATCGATTTTCTCCCTATAAAAATGGTAATCTTTAGCATATTACTAGCATATTCCATAACTAATTTATATTTTTTCCTAAATAAATTCCAAATATATTATATTATGAAGATATTTTATACTTGCTTAACAAGAGGTTTTCTACTCACTCAAAAAAAACCCTACAATTTTCTGAGAATACTATAAATACATCTAAGTCGCATTCTCTATTCTCACCAAACAAGACTAACACTTCTTTGTTTTTTTGGTGAATTCAATAGAAATAGTACTAATAAAGTTTTTGTTTCTTTTATTTTGTTATAAAAACTTTCATATTTTCTGTTTTGTGTTCCATACAAAGATTCTTTTGGTATTGACTAATGATTGAATTTGTTATGTCTACTGCAGATTTTTTTTTAACTTTTCCTTGAAGTCAACAAAGCTACAATGAACATGGAGCTAGGGTTCTTGGAGTTCTTGCCATGTCTAGAGTAAATGGTGAGTGAAAACTATTGTGATTCGACTTTGTAAAGCTATTTTATTCTGGTGGAACAGGCTTTGGACAAGATTAGGTTTGAGTCGTTGACGGACAAGAGCAAGCTCGATGGTCAGCCTAAGCTATTCATTCATATCATTCCCGACAAGACTACCAAACCTTGACCATTATCGATAGTGGGATTGGGATGACCAACTGATTAAGGCTGGTACGTAATTGATTTCAGTTAAAAGCAAATTGTATTGGTTTTTTGTTTATTAATCTTGCATCTATGTGTTGGCTAATGCGATTCTGTTCTGTTGTTTAGATTTGGTGAACAACCTTGGAACAATTGCAAGGTCAGGAACCAAGGAACTCATGGAGGCATTGGCTACTGGAGCTGATGTTAGCATGATTGGTCAGTTTTTTAATTTGATTGTTAGCATGATTGGGTTTCTATTTGGATTCGGTGTCTTCAGGGATAGATTTCACAAGATCCATGAATCAGTTTATCTTGAATGCGATCCCAGATTTAGTTGCGGCGGTGGCCTTGGACGTCGCGGTTATGGTTTCCCAGTTCCGGCCGGTGGTATTAACTAGCTGTGATGATCTCAATTGTTTTCGAATCGGCGTTTTGTCTTTGAATTCGAATTTGGGTATAGCATTGATTCTTTAGGTTTTGATAATCGTTGTTGCTTTTAATTTCTCACATGGACTTGTGCATTCGAATGTTTCATTAATTAGAATTTAGTTTTGACCTTATTATTTACCTTAATGATTGATTATTTTTTTCAATATCGTATTTAATTTAATACAATTTGATCCCCTCCAAACAAAACGTAACGTATGTGATTCGTATTTATCATATTTTTAAAGTTTCCGCAGCTTTTGAGCATATAAAGTCAAAACCATATTTAATTTATTTTCAAGGTTGTTGTTACTACCTAGCACAATGACGATGAGCAGTATGTGTGGGAGTCTCAGGCCGGTGGATCTTTCACTGTGACCAGAGACACCTCTGGGGAGGCTCTTGGTAGAGGAACCAAGATGGTCCTTTACCTCAAGGAAGACCAGTTGGTTAGAATATTGTTTTTCTCTTATTAGATTTTTTAGATAATGGTCGATTGATTTTGTAAGATTTACAATCTTTTATTTTAGGTGACAGGTGAGGAAGCTATTAAAAATTTAAAACAGCCTTGGGGGAAATGGATTCAACCAAATAATCTTTACTATTCTGGAAAGACCATTCAAAATTTCTGACTTGGTTGAGACTTGAGAGTTTGATGTTGGAACATCTTTGTTAACCAAGTTTTTAAGCTGATGCATTCAACGGATGAATTTTCCAATTAAATTTTTTTTTGTTTGGGTTTTGAATTTACCAATCAACGGTGGTATGTTTCATCTCTCTGTTTTTAGGGTTTGTTTAACTGTAAGCTCATTAAGTGATAATGAAATCTATTACTTCAATATATTAATTTGAATCTATAAAAAAAGATGAACTGGAAGATTCCAGTTGCACATGTTTCATCCCGTGTACTCCAGGTGTGTTTTCTCATCTTTGAGTTTTATGAAAAGATTTGTGTGATGTATTATTTTGATGATTAAAGCCAAGTTGAATTAGAATTTGGTTTCTGATTCTTGATATATTTTTATTTGGGTTGCAGAAGCTAACAGAAGCTATGAAGAAGAAGAGGAAGCCCCATTACACTCTTCAGCAAGTATATAGATTATTGTGAAACTGAGATTTCTGGCTTAAGTTTTTTTTTTCTACTTATTGTAACATAGGATTTTGATGGTTTCATCTGCATATTTTCAATTTACTACTTTATCCACTTTCATATATTACAAATAGCATACTCTCTATTTTCTTATCTCCATTTCTTTATAAGAGTGATTTATATGTTTAAATTTAAGATATAAATACAACCCTTTCATATTATTTCAAATTAAATACATGTTTGTTTGTAACTAACATACAATGACAGAGTCGAAAATAAAATTTCTTAAATGGAGTGTATTACCGGGCATAGATATATAAAACAACAAATCATACAGATTAACAGGTTAGTCGACTAATGTTCAGACCCATCTAAATTCTAACCCGCAGTGTCTAACGTGAGAAGAGAATGGTAACAACGAACAACACTAAAATGAGTTTTATACTTGATTAACATATGCACTTCATAACTCCAATAAAATTTTACAATATAAACACATATATTACTTGGCTTGGAATTAAAACACAAAATTCAACTCTACCACTATATTTCAAATCAAAAATATTATACTCAATACTACACTAAAATTCTCAACCAAAATCTATACTAATAGATAACAAAATTTCGCATATATTAACAAAACATAAGATCCGGGCGAAGCACGGGTTATGGTTGATGTTAATACGGGAAAGTATACCACGGGTGAAATCCTAGAATTAACAATCAAAATACAATTATATAATCTTAAACACTAAACATAACAAACAATATTAACAAAACAAATATAACTTAAAATTAAAATTTATAGTTAAAGAAAAATTGATTCTCAGTGAACCCAAAATCAAACATAAATTTATACCAATAAAACATCAAAAATTAATACAACAATATCATAAATTTATAATAATATATATATATATATAAATATTTACCCCGCGGTGTACCGCGGGTCAAATCCTAGTGTCACATATTCTTACTGTAATAACTGGATTCCTAAGGATATGATATTGATTCTAGTGAGAAGTTTGTTTTAATTAGTAAATGATGTTCATGTTTTGAAGCAATGAAATTTGTTACACGCATTATTTGATAATTATATGATAATTTCAAGTAATTAATTTCTATCATTCTTATGATATTGTCAAGTAGTGTGACTAGCTTGATTACAAAATCCTATAAGTGAAAGCAGAAATTAAACATGATGAGGTTTTTCTGGTTATTTTCTCTTTAAAAACATTGATGGGCCAAGATTGGGCCTTCAACTGCTCATCTTTATACGAAACCCAACCCACATTTGGGTCCTGATAAACCTCCCAATCTCCCATCTGGTTTTTTTCCCCAATTCTTCAAAACCAAAATCTCTCCAGCAATCGAGAGAGCAGCACGAGTGAGAGAGAAAGAGCGATTGAGGATTTCGTAGCGTGAAAGGAGATCGAAGTATAAGTAGCTATGGATAGAGAATG